TTGGTTGTCTCAGTCGAAGCGATGTCCGTGGTTGTCTGTATGTAGTGATATAAGCGAGGGGGTGGATGTCATGTCGTTTGACGGCTAGCTTATATTCACGGATACGAAGACGAAGAGGACGTCCACTATGGCCAATGTAGTGTTTTTCGTGGCTGTTATAATTTATTTTGTAGATGATGATGTTGGTTTTATCTTCTTTCGTTGTTGAGTCTTTTGGTTGACATAGGATTGAATGAAGTGACTTTGTTGGTTTGTGTACGACGTCAATTCCAATGGTTTGAAGAGTCTTGTAGTGATTTCTGAGATATCCTTTATATATGGTAAGGCGATTTTCTTTGTGTTTTCCCTGGTGGCTTTTGTTTTGGTAGGTTGGCTTGGAGATATATGTCTTTTTATGAAATTCCATGGATATCCATTCTTTTGGAAGACGTCCATGAGATATTTTTTCTTCGATTTTCTTCATGGTGGGAGTGCTGCAATGAGACCTGGCGGACCATCGTGAATAGTGTTTGTATACAACTTTTTTGTGTTATTGCGTTGTTGCTGTTGCAATTCAGGATTTGACATGTGGGAGTTGATTTTCTATAAACTTGAGTTTCTAATTCCCCTATGGTTTTTCGCTTGACTAAGACGTCGAAAAATGGGACTTGGTTCTCGGGTTTCTCTTTTCTTGTGGATTTGACGTCGTTGATGATGTTGTTTTTTAAGTTGTGCGTTTTATCTAACTCGTTTCTTTTGATTATTACAAATGTGTCATCTACGTAACGTATCCAAATCTTAGGTTTGATCTTTGGTAGGATTATGTTTTCGAGTCTTTGAATCACTGCTTCTGCAAGCAAACTCGATGTCAGCGATTCCATGGGTGTTCATTTAATTTGTTCATATATTTGGCCGTTGAATTGGAGGTACGTTGTTAGACATAGGTTTACGCATGACATCCAACTTGTGTTGTGTGTTGCATTTTTGGTTGTTGTGGGAGGTGTTCGTCGTTGCTAAGTAATTACTCCATGGCCGCTTTTGCTATTTTCTGTCCAGTTGAGGTATATAATACTGTGATGTCAAAGGATATCATTATTTCTTGTTCATCTTCGGTGTTTAAAACGACGGGCGCTAGGTTCGAGTCCTAATGAGAACACTGCCCCTCACTGAGAAAGGCAGGTACATCCATTTGAGGAGGCTTAAAAGGGAAGAAAGACATATCCTGCATTCCATTCCTAGCGTAAAAATCAACTAAAAATTAATTCAAAAACAATCAACTGCCATTCCATAGTTGAATTTGTTACTCACGTATTTCTCTATTCTTCTCTGAAGTACGTTTTCAAGGTAGACAACGACACTTTCGCGACTAAACCATCCAACACTATGAACATCTAAACAACCTGCCATCATTTTCATTACTTCAGAAGAATGCAACAGAATACATGTATAGAAGTGAAAAAAATGTTAAGATAAAGAAGAGGGGTGCATAAATGTGTTTCGGAATAAAATTTATTTTTTTCTGTACTGTCTGGTTTCAACATAGAACTTTGCACCGATGCGCAGTAGTTTCTGTCGCTACACTCCACGTAGCATACAAAGCGAAAGAGGAGAGTAAAAAGAAAGGTAAAACATAGACAGTAAACGGAGATATGAGGCAAAAAGAATAGTAATATCGAAGAACCATATAGTTTTATTGGATATTATAAATCACAAGGAGTGGATGCACCTGTCCTATTGACAACGACGATTTTTGGCCAAGTCACCAATTGTCTCCGGCCTCCATTGGTTCTTACTACCTCGAGAACTCTCACCAGGAAGTTTACACCTCCCTACATGGCTTGCTTAAACTAACTGTTGCGGATTTCATTGACTGACCCAACCACATTTCCGTTTGACCACTACTAGCAGGTGATTTCCAGCCTGATCCATCCTATGTCAGCTGACATTACCCGTCGTCGAGCGAGGCGATGCCTAGGCATACGTAGCACGTGTCCTGACCATCTCAACTGATGTAATTTTACAGCTTCGCCGATTGATTTCCCCTCCCACTTTACATATCACTTGACCCAAGCCTAATCTCGATATTGCTTACCCTGTTACACCAATTCACAAGGGAAATAGAACCAATGATCAAAAGCATCTAGCCAGCCTTTCCATGTCTTCCGCTTTCAATGGCCAGGACTCACAGTCATAAAGGAGAACGGAACGGAATGCTGAGGACTAAACACGCCCTTTGGTCGATAGCCAGCCGGATATCACGTCTACCAAGACAGAAGCGGCGTAAACTGGCATATGCGAAACGAGCCTTGTGTATCCATGCAGAAACTTTGCCAGTGATCAACCCGTTGAGACTGGCTAGTGCGGATTACCAAATAAGTGAAGCGGTCAACGTACTCTATTGTACTGTAAAGATTCTGTGGTGATGGATGAGGTTACTACTGACTGCCGCTGTTTAAATTTGCCATGCTCCATGAAGCACACGACGGCAGAAAAGAGAGACAAAAAAAATGAATTCAAAAATACCGTAATAAGCAGAGAAATACGAGAGAGAAACAATAGTAACATGGCAAAACAATAGAGATTACTTGGATATGGCAGAACACAAAGAATAAATGCATCTCAATCCACTGAGAACGACTTTTATCCATATCACTGATTGTCTCCAGCCGCCATCGGTTTTTAGCATCCTGAGGACCCAACCAGGAGGCCTACACCTCCCTAGGTGATTCAGGCTAACTATCAAAGATTTTATGAATTTATCCCAAGTTTGAGTCTGACAACCACTGGCTGTTTATCAACCTGACCCCCTATGTCAAAAAAATTTCCCGTTCTGAGAAAGCAACAGTTAAATATGCATGTAGTTGCTAACCTACATGCTAACATTCCGCTTTTAACGCTTCCAGTAGCGACTAATAAACTGTAACAGGTCCAGTCACTTCGCCCCAGTTTGATACTATACTCCACAGTGGTGTGTATTCATGACTCAACAAAAAGGATTAAACTCAGGAACTATAAGTGAGGAAGTCTTTCCGTTGACCATTCATCCACTAATGAAGCTATTTTTCCTTAATTGGAACTTACAGAAAGAATGACGCATTATAAGTACATTTGCCTTCCTGTAGTCGATTTTGTAACAAACTGACTAAGTGATCAATCATTCACCTCACTTGTCTTACTATTAATTCACCAATGGACTGCCTAATCTATCTTAACTAAGTATTGATTTGAAAGAATTTGTTTGGCTACAGCCGTAAACACCACTTACTATACCAGTTAGAGAACCATTACAAAAACTACAGGAAAATACAAGATATCTGTTTCGGCCTATTATAGAACTCCTAGCGGGGTTCACCCAGTCAGGAAAGAAAATAGATACTTGCCAATCACACTGCCTAGCGGCAGTAATATAATATATATATATATATACGAGTGGGCAAGGTACCCGACGATTGGAAGAAAGGATACTTATTCAAACTGCCAAAGAAAGGAGACTTAAGTCAATGTAAAAACTGGCGCGGAATTATGCTCCTGTCCATCACAAGCAAAATACTAAGCCGCATCATCCTGGAGAGAATCAAACAAGCCCTAGATGAAAACCTCCGACCGGAACAAGCTGGATTCAGGAAAAACAAGTCATGTATTGGTCAAATCGCCACTCTACGCATCATCATTGAACAAAGCTTGGAATGGCAGTCAGCTGTCTATCTCAACCTCACTGTCTTTAAAAAGGCCTTCGACAGAGTCCATCAAGAGGCGGTTTGGCAACTACTTCGTTACTACCAAAGGGTATCGCCGACATTTATACATCTCATCAAAAAGTTGTACGACAATGCTGCATGCCAAGTAATCCACAACGGGAAACTTACGGAATCCTTTGAAGTGAAGATAGCAGTGAGACAAGCTGGCTGCTTACTGTCTCCAATGATTTTCCTGACTAGAGTAGACTGGATAGTGAAACAGATAGACATAAGGCAGTGAGGAAACAGGCATAAAATGAACCCTAACGAAAAACTTGGAGGATCTGGACTTCGCCGATGATATATTTGTGTCTGATTTCACACAAACTGGAAGATATGCAAGTGAAAAGCAATAAGTTGGCAGAACAAGCATCCAGAGAAGATAGGCCTTCAGGTGAACAAAGAGAAAACAGAGGTGATGAAGATTCCTGGCCAACATCAACAGCAATAACAACAACAGACAACAATCAGCCAGCAGAAATGCGAGGAATCTAAAAGAAACAACCGCCTTTACCTACCTGGAAAGCATCGGCACTCAGTATGAAAATTAACATCTAGATTTTCAACTCGAATGGGAAGTCAGTGCTACTTACTATGCGGATCAGAGACTTAGCGCGTCATAAAGAGCATCTCAAACAAACTTCAGATCTTCATTAACAGTTGTCTTCGCTCAATACTCCAGATTAGATGGCCAGAAAAGATCAGCAACAGGGATCTCTGGAAGCAAACCAACCAGTCAAGTGTGTGAAAATGGATGTCCCACCGATGACATTGGTTGGCAAAAGTTAGAACTCGTGGGCTAGCCATTGAATTGGATCCCAGTGTCGGCTAAATGGTATACAAGCCAGCTTGCCTTGTAAACTGGAAGGATCCAAGGTTTGAACTCCTTTTTGGCAGGTGCTTACGTAAACTAATGAAGAGTCAGTGCCAGACAAGGACGAAACAGAGGGTGTCCAGTAACACAACTCCTTGTCGGTTTTCCAATGGTTCAATCAATTAATGTCAACTCATAATCTAACAATGACAATCGGAAGTAAACTATTATCATTTTGATAACCAGTACATGTATGTATGTATGTATGTATGTCATTATGTGGGTATGTTTCTCTACTGAATACATACAAGTTCTTGACTAACAACAAATACTGAGTAAATGAAACTAGGCGCGTTTGCAAAGTAAGAATTTAGCTTTAAGTGGAGACTAGTCTCATGACGTCTACACAGAGACACACACACACGCACACACACACATACACACGGCCAATGGAAATAGCACACAACCTTGTAGACATACCTTTTTTATTTACAAACATATTTACTTTTAAATGAGAATACATTCCATGTGACACTTGAAATACAAAATAATAATAATAATAATGAACATATTGTAAAAAAAAAAGAAAATTTAATATCTCTGCTAGATAGATAGATAAATAGATACATTGACCAATTATAATGACTATCTGATATGATGAATACATTTCATCTAATATCCATTGTACTGAAGTATGCGGCTAAAGAGATAGCCAGTCCAATGCATACAATCTCTATACTAATAAATGAAAACACGAGAATGATAACAGTAATTAAGAATTTGCTGCCGAAATCAGTCAATGCATCAGTACAACCCTGTGTAACAAAAAAGAATAAGGAGAAAAATTATATCAAAGATGACATTCCAATGAATAATTTCTAGCAAAGAGTTACTAAGGTATATGACGATGAATATACAAATACTTTACTGTTGGTATCTTACAGGGTGATAGTATTTCCTGTGTTTGAGAACAAAGGCAGGTAAACAAAAATATGTTCAATATTCTTGCTTGCATTTTTAGACATACTTATGAGTTGAAGAGATGATGATGGCTCAGTAGGACGGTGTATTTACAGAAATGTGCATCGGTGGTTTAGTGGTTAGGACGCTCGCCGACCATACACATGGTCCAGGGTTCAATACCCGGCCGAACTACTCCTTTACCTCACTAACCCAGAAATAATGCTGGTAAAGACGAAAGGTTGGGTATGAGGCTAGCAATCCTATCCTGTAAAACTAAACACCACTGCTACAGAAACTTCAAGCCACTCGGCTTGAAGCCCTATGTTCCACTGGGAACGTGAAGGAAACAAAAAATCTACAGCAATCCCACTTGGACAGGGCAATACCTTAATTTTCAGAGTTTTTGTCCATTACAGTATAAGAGAGGCTAGGTGAAATGTCTATTTAAGAGGATTCAATATATTTGCACGGCTGATGTTATAGACAAATAAAATGAAATATTGATGGATACTCTCTTGTTGAAAACGGATATCCTTTAAAATTTTTAAACAGGTGTAGAAGTCAATTAGTCTCTAAACTTACAATCCATACCGTCCCTCAGAAAAATGTTTTCATCAAATTACCATGTGACGGGGAAATAAACAGTGGGATTTTGAGACAAAGGTTGAATTGGATCATCCGTAAAATCTAATATGCATTCCGGCTTGCAATTATCCAAAAAGCCTAAAATATGCCCCACTGCAAACCTCAAAAGTGCGCAAGTGATTATGTCACATCCCACACTATTTACCAATTCTCAGTGTGTGTGTGTGTGTGTGTGGACACACATACATAGGGAGGAGTAATCGTGTTCTGCATGTGAGAGTGGGATAGCGAGCATATCCCGAAATGGTTAGAAAAACAAATGAATTGTGAAAAACCAATAGATGCAGGTGTCAAACTACCAAATTCGTCTATAGCTGAACATCTAATCGAGATGAACCATAAGACTGAGGTTAACTCAGCCTTTAAGGCCATCTATAAAAACGGTCAAGGGCGCTTATTGAAATACACTGAGACTATAGCTATTCATAAACTTCAACCCGCCTCCCTTGTGTATTCAAAAACAGTTTGTTACTACTCTTAACCTACCTTGGTAATCCTTATTTGATTGGATTACCAAACGTTTGTGTTAATTATTCTTAATTCCTTTTTCTCTCACTTTGTTTAATTTAACTTTTCCATGTATATTGACTTGAGAAGTAAATGTGTTAGGGATCAGATTGTTCGAAATGTATAGCGCTAATACATCACATTGCTTTTCAGATAATCTCCGTCTTCTAATAATGCTATCAAAATCAATATTCTTTACCAGATGTCTTTTGTTAAATACGTTTTGCATGACATTAACTGAACTAATTCCTTGACTGTTAACTGGTTGCAATCTTATTTGTCTTTAACGGAAATAGAGTATACCGTAGATAAAAGTTTACTGAAGCTGAAGTCTCCCCCCTCCATCTATTTCTTTATTTCTATCTTTTTGCATGATTTGCCTTGTTCGGAGAAAATTACCTTTGTTAAATATGCTGACGGTGAAACTTCCGACAGAAATATAGCAGTTCAACTTGTCGCCTTCGACAGAGCACACCCAAGAAACACCTTCGTAGGAGAACTATGTACAACAGAAAACTTTTGAAGAAGAAATAAGTATATGGGAAGGAATGACAATCAAATGAATCTAGGAGATCATACAGACTGGACGTTTCTGTGCCTATGAAAACGATTTTGAACCACATCACCAACTGTCTCCAGCCTCCATTGGTTTTTACCATCTCAAAGAAGTCTAGCAGTCACAAAGTCTACATCTCTCTACACGGCTTTCTTAAACTATCTGCAGTGGATTTCACTGACTGACGCAGCCATGTTTCCATTCGACTACTACCAGCAGCTCTTTTCCAAACTGATCCATCTTATGTCAGCTAACATTGCCCGTCGTCGAGAAAAGTGATTCTTACGCATATGTAACACATGTCCCAAACATCTCAGTCGAATTAACTTCACAGATACGCCGGCTGATTTCCCCTCCTTACCTATCACTCGACCAAAGCCTAACCTCAATATTGCTCACCTTGTTATACCACTTCACACAAGAGATAAAACGCAGACACCTATGATCAAAAACAACTAGCCAGCCTTTCCATATCTTCCGTTTTTCAATGGTTAGGTCTTCCACCCAGCAGTATGAAAACAATGCAAGTGGACATAAACCTGCAAACCCACCCCCACCCACCATTATAAGAAAAAGATTACCATCTGATACAACTTCTTTAGCACTCAAAACGAATAACCAGTTAAGATTATTTCCAATAACCTTCACTTTCAGGAGAGTCACCACACTAACACAATCTCCCAAGACTTATAAAAGCATTTTAAAATTCGATAAAATTGTAAGAACACACACACACTCATACACACTGACAGATTGCCAAAATAGTACAAAGTACTTTGTAGGGTCATAATATGATCATTTGCTCGAAGCTGACTATTATTCCTCCATGAAACACGCCATCCTTATCAGTGTGAACACGCATCATAATTGTCTGTAGAAGGATAGCAGTTAATAAGAGACTAACGTTTCTATGACTTTTATACACTATGTTTGAGCTAGTTCAGGGCAAAGCAATGTGATGATATCTTCTCAACTGGGTAGCTACCAACAACGATAATAAACAGATAGTAGTGTATTATTCATTCACAAGAGAGTTGAGTACTACCCGTCGTGAGTGTAGTGAAATAATCATCTAGTTAGCAGTTGAATTACGTATCTAAGTTGGTAGAGCTCCAGACTAGCAAATCGGAGGCCTTTGGTATGACGTGCAGCAGTGACCTAGATTTCCATTTCACCTCCAGTTACCACCCAATACATCAATAATAGTCTGCCAACCCTAAGTGACTGTTTTTAAAGTAGAAATTTGTACAAAAGCGAAGTAGTTCAATTTGCCACACTCCATTAAGAATGCAAAAGTACTAAGAAAATATTTGACAGGATGATCTGCTGACCAGAGGCAACGTGTACAAACACAAGGATAGACACAAAGAAACATGGATTTCGCCTGCAGGACACACCAGAAACCAGATAGATTTCATCTCAGTATCGCCCAAAGAAGTGGAGACGCAGCCTGCTGGACACAAAGTCGAGAAGGGGAGCAGATGTGGGCTCACACAGACATCTAGTTCCAGGCACCCTCAAGGAGAAGCTGGAAGCGTTCAGAACAACTGCAGACACACCATACATAAGTAAACGCTTAGAAACTGAAATACGAAACTAAAAAAAATGACTTCACTTTACTGCAGACATCACAAAAAAGTTGAAGACACTACCTTGCACCATTGAGGAAACCTGAGTGGAAGAACATTGGAACTCTCTGAAGGCGATATTCAAGGAAACGTGTACAACTGTTCCAGGAAGAAAGAAGAGGCAAGACAAGGAATGGCTCACAGCCGACACCTACCTGGAAGCTAATAGAAGACAGGAAAGGAGGATGGTGAATAAGATGACTCAATGCAAAGATGGGAAACAGAACCTGGAGTCAAGTTCAATGTGTACTGCACTGAATATAGCGAGAAGGGAAGAGTGCTAGGAAGGACAAGAAACAATTCCACGGCACACTGAAGAAGCTGAAGCAGAAAGGACAGGACGCAAGCAAAAAGGACAACAAACCATCAAATATTCAGGCTGCTCGCTATTCCGGGAAGAGATCAACCCAGATGATGAAACCAACAAAAGATGCTCAAAGAAACCAGATTACTAAGGAAGAGAAACAAATAAAACGATGAGCTCATCACCTAAAAAGACTCTGGAATTGACCATCACCTACAACTCGCCCAGAAATACCACCAGCAGCACGCACGGAACTGCCTGCTAGCGAACATTAATCCTCCAACGAAAACAGAAATCCTGAATTCAATCAAGCTACTGACAACCGTCCGAGAATGAGGCAAGAACAGAAGAAATTCCCCCAGAGCACTGAAAACGGGCCCAGAAACTGAGACAGATGTGCTCGCGTCATTACTGCAAAACGTTGGGAAAGAAGGAAAGGTACCTGCTGATTGGAAGAAAGGGTGGCTACCTTGTCAAGTCTCCAAAGAAGAGTGACTTAGGCCTTGTGTGGAATCATGCTCTCTGGAGAGAATAGATGATGAACTGGATACAAAACTCATCCAGCTCGGAACAAGCTGGATTCAGGAAAGGCAAATCATGTGCTGATCAAATTGCAACTCTACGCATCGTCATCACAGAACGTAGCATAGAATGGCAGTCAAACCTCTGCCTCAACTTCATAATATTCGAAAATGCCTTCGACATCGTTGACCAAGACGTAATTTTGTATCTGCTTCAACACTACGATATGCAGTGCGCAAGTCTTTATCAACCTCATTAAACAACTGGCTCTATGACAATGCCACATGTCAGGTGATAAACACCAGAAAACTCAGTGAGGTGGTCAACGTGACTAGAAAAATGAAACAAGGCTGGCTGCCAATTATTACAGATGACATTCTTATCTGTGGTGGAGTGGATTATGTGTCAGACTGTTCACAAGGTGTGAGAAGACAGGAATAGGTTGGACCAGCGATTAGAAGACTCTAGAAGATCTGGATTTCACGTGTGGATGATTTATATTGAATGTCATACAAACTCGAAGACTTGCAGGCGAAAACCAACAAACTGGCTGAAGATGCAGTCAGCGAAGACAGGACTCCTGGTGAACATAGAGAAGACGGAGGTGATGAAGATAACCACGCAACAAACAGCAACAACAAAAACTAGCACCAATCATCATCAACAAGAGAGATTTAACAGAGGTTACCTCCTTCACTTACCTGGCCAAGAAGCATCGTTTCAACTACAGGGCAGCTGAAGCTGACCAGAATCTGAAAGGCAAGATACGATTTCATCAACCTGAAACCACTTTGGTAATATTCTACACTCAGCATAAGGAAGAAGATTCGGATTTTCAACACCAACGTCCAGTCGGTCTTTCTATACGGGTCAGAAACTTGGCGTGTAATGAAACGGATTTCCAATAGCCTGTTGCAGACTTTTATCAACAGCTGCAAACTTCGTCGGATCCAAACTGAAGACCAGATGGCTGGTTGGCCAGAAAGAATTAGTAAGAAGAAACTCGGCGGTGGAACAAATCAACCAAGAGTCGATCGCTCAACAAATATGTAGCAGAAAATGGAGATGAATTGGGCATACATTAAGAAAACCATAGAATGAAATCGCGAGAGGCCCTTGAGTGCAATCCAAGTGGAGGGCAACAAGTGGGTCGTCCCCTTGTGGAGGACATGGAGGAGATTGTGTAATGAAGAGATGAGAATTTTTTGGCAATCGTGGACCCAGTTGAAGATTTTTTTCCTTTAAGTTCCCAGCGGAACATAGGGCTTCAAGCTAGTGGCTTGAAGTTTCTGTAGCACTGTTTATTTTTACAGGATGGGGTTGCTAGCCTCATGCCCAACCTTCCCCTCTCTACCAGCATTTTTTCTGGCTTAGCGAGGTAAAGGAGTGCGTCAGCCAGGGATCGAACCCCGGACCATGTGTATGGTCGGCGAGCGTCCCAACCACTAAGCCACCCAGTTGAAGAGGATGGCAGAAAACAGAACAAAGTGAAGATGTGTTGTTGAAGGCCTATGTTCCACTCGGAACCCAAAGGAACAATAATAATAAATATAGAATAATGAAAATCTGGAAGATCGTAGAGATTGAATGTTTCTGTGCTATTAGTAATGATTTTGAGGCATATGACCAACAGCCTCCATTCACTGAGTCTTAAAGTCACGAGAAGGCCAGACAGGTGGTATACATCTTAACAGAAGAGGTAATAACTTATAATAATAATAATAACACCTTTTTCCAAACAGTATTTGTGTTACAGGTATGGAATCTTCAGCGTGCATTACAATATATCGCATCTAATTACCTCATAAATTTTATAAGATTTTAAATCAAAAAGCAACAACCAAAAAAAGATCAATAAAAAGAAATAAAAAAGAACAGCGGTGCGTTTACATTTTAAACAATGCACCACAGGATATGAAGTATAAAATTAGTGTGTAATAGAAGATGTGGACAGCAATACAATGTAAACGAAGAAAGGAAAACAAAACCTAATGAGAATTATTTATTAGAGTGCCACAGTAAGTTGACCGTGTCATACCTAACGGATTTCTCATCACATAACAGCTGTGCCAGATATGGTATTGTGGAGTTTTTGTACTTAGTAGTCCTAGCATATAGCCTCCATTAGCTGCTTTTAGTTCTACCAGATGGAATGCAAGGAGACAGCTGCGTATAGAGAGGATCCTCGGGGTCTGACAATATTGTATTCGCTAGTTTTTTACATGACATATGTCTATCCATAATAGTGTTAACCAGTTGGTTTAACGATATCCCACTTGCACTACTAACGGTTTTTAGTGCCCTTCTCTGCAAAGCAAAGTCTTTCATAAGTAGTCCAGGAGAGATTAATGGGGAGCAGTAAAGGGGGATGGGTAGAATACAAGAATTTACAAACTGAGAAGGCAAAGACTGCTTTATACCAGACTACCTTAACTTCCTAACGTAGAACGTTAAGCGAAACATCTTTCTAGTAACTAGCAAGATGTGGGAGGACCAGAAAGGATCGGAGGAAATACTCAGTCCAAGGTAGTTGACGTTAGATGTGATTTCAACCTCTATGCCGTCAATGATAGTGGGGCCATGTGAGCTAGCTAGTTGTTGTAGGTCAAGTTTTCGTCTGAAAGTGAAACTGACTACCTGACATTGAGACGGATTCAGCTTAAGACCGTTTGAAGAGGATCACCGACTAATTTCCTACAGAGAGTTATTTAATTTGGAACAATCTGACTGAGAGTTGACAGGCATAGAAACAGAGAGGTCATCAGCATACTTAATAAAAGTGGCTACAACAGAACGAGGCAAGTCATTTAAGAAAAAAGAAAACAGAAAAGAAGAAAGAACAGCACCTTGAGGAACACCAGGTAAAGTACGTGAGGTAGTGGAGCACCTTCCATTGTAGACGATGTACTGCTTCCTTAGCATGAATAACACATATCTTAGCCATTTGAATAGACTCATCTTCACAAACTCACCACTGGTTGATCAGCTCTCCTTACTTAACATTCTACACCTAATCTAAGTATTACACACTATTTTATACAAGCCAACGTGAGAGACAGAACGCAAACACCTTCAATCAAAGTTATCTAGCCTTCTTTAGTCTTTTGCATACAATGACCACATCTCACAGCAATCAAGGAGAGAGAAAACTTGTGAGTAGTGCACACTTCCTCCTAGCCAGTAGCCAGACTACCTCTTTCTTTCCGTGCTAGGATTCCGAAAGCACAACTGTCCAATTAGGCTTATGAAACTTACCGAATAAGTTTAGCTGTTTCATATATATGATAGGGGCAAATTCTGCCCCAAACTTATTAGAATTTCCACTCAAGATATTCAGGAGACTCTGTGTTTTGAAGAAGTGCTTTACACTCCTCAGTTGTAGGGTGGCATTTTTTATAGAAACATAAACTAATGTAGGTTTTATTCAGAAAAATAATCTGTAATAAATTGAATTTTTAGCAGCAAGACAGTAGGCTAGTGTCACGTACAAAGCTATGAGATTTGTTCGTAGACAGATTTACAAAACACCTATTGGAATAAAGATTTTGAAAAGAGATCTTAAAAGAGACCGCCAATATATCTATTGAATAAATCCCAGAGTTAAAATTTCCACTTCTATCTTATGGGATTGAACTTAAACAACAGAAAACCAGTGACAAAAGTAAATAACTTCAAAGCCAGAGAGTTTCAGCATGATGCACAAAATTTGACTCGATATGTCTACAAACATTCTGTGAAGAAACACTGAGAAAAGACTGGAGACTAGACTATGTATTACATAACCAGACTATCCAGGACGATATAACCCACATAAACAGGTAAACACAGATTAAGGTAGGTTATCAAAAAAACGGTAAGTTTATATATATTTGCATACGTATTTATATTCTAGAGTATTACCATACACAGATATCTAATCACTAAAAAAAGAAAAATATCAACTTATTAGACCTTGTTGGGACTAGGTAGCAAATTCATTTGTCCTGCTTTACGACTGTGAGAACTAGCCACTGAAAGTAGAGTATACTAAAAGATTAGAGGCCTCTGGTTAAGTGCATTCTTTAGTATTGTCACAGTGGTCCATAGAAAGGATGCTCACGATCAATGTGGCAAAATGTACAACCGTGCGAATCGGACAAGCAAGCATCATCTCCTACGAACTAGAGGGTATAACACTCACATCAGTTCAGACTCATTTGGATTTAGGTGTTATAGTTAGCCACAAATTAAAAACTACAGCACACTGTCACGTGGTAGCTGCACGTTGTTTCAGATCCTTATACGAAATCTGCAGAGCTATTAATAGATGAACCAGAGATATGTTCACCTCCATATATACATCTATGGTGAGGTCAAGACTGAAAAACTGCATCCAGGCAGCCAGTCCTTGTCTTAAAGTGGTCCAAAGGAAGGCAACACGTATGATTCTCGACATGACTGACTTATCATACAAGAAAAGACTAGACAGTTTAAATCTCTTCTCTCTGTCATACTGTAGGCAGAGAATAGATTTAATCACAATGTTTAAAATTTCAAATGACGACTAAAGACCTGGTCTATTTTCTTGTTTCCTTCCCACCAGGTGGTCGGAACACCTTAGAGGACATAGCAGAATAGTTCAAAAGCCAAGGAGAATTCATATTGCTGTTGAGTAGTGGTTTTCACATCGACTTGGAACCGACTGCCAGAAGTGCTATCTTCAACCTCAACTGATTTTATTCAAGAATGGTTCGGACCTGCACAGAAATTTACTAGAAAAGGATTAACATAGGCTCCAAGCCTTCTATGTTTAACCAATATATCTGAAATCTAAATCTGAAATATGTATTTCCGCAATGGCTAGAGCAGCATGATAGACAACACTGCTATTAGACATAGTGTCAGTTAGTTTACTGAACAATGTAGTTTCGAAAGTGATATAGATAAAGATACCTATGCTTCCTTACTAAACATTACCTTGATATATACACGACCATCTTCTATGCAAGATGAAGGCAGTTTGTCACCATATTCAATATACGTCCGGGCTCCACAACATTGAAGCTACAATACAATGAAAATTAACAAAACTGAATACATCTCTGTGAATTTTATCCAGCAGAACACTTGAGTTTTTGTCACTGTGATAATTCTTGACAGCATTACTTATGACTAGGTGTAGACTGTTCCACATCTGCAACACAGATAACACATTTACACAAGTTTAGTGTTGAGTTACAGACTTACTTCCAACTGGTAACACAAACAAGCTATTCCGGTACCCAAATGCAAAAGAACTATGCATAAAAGTCCAACAGCATACTAAAATATAAAGGTGGGATAATGTTTTTTGAATGCTTCATAATCGATTATACCAGTGAAAGAATATCAGCACTGTGTAAACAGGCGCCGAATAGACCCAAAAATCCAACTAAAATCATAAAACACCCAACTATGGCTACACAGGTAATTATTCCTTTAACAGTCCCATGGAGATTATCACTATGCACGCGAACTGCATAGTAGAAAATGCCATCAACAGCAATTATACAAATTGCACATCCCTGAAAGGTGAATATGCTGACTATAAAGTCTTACAAGGATAATTATATTTGAAACTATTAAAGCTATCTGAAGATGTTTATAACCATACGACGATTTGCAGAAACCCATTCAGTGTTGAAATGGGCAACACACCAGTAAACCGCTATTTCAATATAACAAAACAAAGTATCCATCATCCAAGATTTGAGAGCGTCTAATATTTCGTTTGACTTTACTGATAGGCCTTATAATATTGTTCACCAAATAACCACGATCCAAACTTTGAAAACGTGACGTATTTATCCCCACTTTTGGATAAATATGGTCTTGTTGCGTCACACTATTAAAGGTCATGGATAAACTTTAAATCAAGCTGCACTTGTTAGCTTTAGCCGTTTTACAGGTTTTATGGGTTAATATTTAGAAGAGAATGCTTTTGGTTCTTAGTATTCCTAGTGTTTTTGATAAAAGTTTTCAGATCTCATATTCGCTAATTGAATATGGAGGGCCTGAAACCAATTTTAGTCTTTTTCGGATAAGTTTCTCTGCCTGTATATGCGAGTAGGATTAGGACATTGATGTTGCTTCCTCTGAAAGTGGGAGTCAATGCCTCCGTGGGAGAAAAAATGCTTCAATGCTATGTAGTTCCTCCTTGGCATTTGAACTCTCCTCCAATGTCCTCTGAGATGTTCTGATCTAGTGAAGGGGGAATGAGAAGATTAATCAGGTATGCAGTCATTGAATTGTAAACATTTTAATCTGACCTCTCTGCCTATAGTATGGCGAAGAGAGAAAATTCAAGGCTTTCCTCATTTGACAAGCTGGTCATACCAAGAATCTTTCACGTTGCTGTCCTTTGAAACCTTTCTTGAGTGAGTGATTTCCTTTAAGATACAGGGTGGCTGTATGATTACAGTTTTCCACCTTTTGCCTAACCAGATGGTTATAAATATGTGAACGTGTCACTACTGATCCTGGCAAACGCCCCACGCATTCCCGGCAAAGATTTAAAATTATAAGTTGCTGTGGAGCAGCCGTGATCTCTAGTTCTTCTGTCGTTACTTACTACGGTACCCGGATCAATATGAGTCTGAACTTATGGGAAAGTTATTCCCTCCATATCGTATCAACTGATGCCAGATTGCCCAACACTCATGGTTTCAGTTGTTCCGACAAGAGTTGTGAAAATTAACTGCTCAGCAACATTATGGATATAAGTTCTCCACATTATCTTAGGAAAGTTGGGTTGTAGTTGGTGAGGCATATATGATGCCCGACGAGCGTACATCTGTCCATGTGATGTTGCGGTGAGTTATACCTTTTTCATATTGTCGGTTTATTCCCATTTTATTCCACTTATTGTGTTGAGCAGAAGTTTTACAAACGAAATGTTTTGTCTGTTTGAGGGTAAGTATCTTAATCGTTAATGTTTTATCTGAAATTATAAATATCGGCAAAAAACAACAGGTGTAGTATTTAAGCTTATACATTAAATGGACCTATAATTTTGGAGGCTCTCAGATGGGAACTAGGACTACTATCGTTTGCAAACTCTTGTAGTTTGTCGTTAAGCACTTTCGGAAGGAGACCAATGTACCTGCTTGACGCATTTCCATTGGTAGTTTATTCCATATCTGTGCATACCTAATCAAGTAAAACTTTTCCCTGGTGGCTGCTTTACATTGTTCGATAGCTACTGTACCCTTAGTGTGTCTTAGTTTGTAGCCATTGTCATCTGAAAGTCGAGTGCCATTAGTAGAGGTAAAAATAAGTGGTTTAGAAGCTTAAAGTTAAGTGTTAAGATTAGTCTCAGGCGTCTTAGCCATAGTGTTTCTAATCCTAGGGTATCACATCTAGTGGAGTAGTTCGCACCATTTTCGCTTCCGAGTAATTTTGAGGTGAAGTACCTCTGCACTCCCTCAACTTTCAATTTGTCCTCTATGCGTATACTACTATACATGAATGAACAGTAATCAAATAAAGGACGCACACAAACCTTGTACAACAGAATTCTGGACTCATTTCTGTAGACGCTCCTGAGTAGAAAGCCGATAAGTCTGCGTGACTTTGACACTTGTTTGGAGATATGTTCAGAAAATGATAAGTCATGTGAGTTTTTCAGTCCTAGGTCCAATACAGATTCCAGTCGTAAGAGTGCATGGCCTTGAATTGTCAGGTCTAGTTCTAAATTGTTGCAACCTATGCAGAGCCAGCCATATTTGTCGACGTTAAACTGGAGTTGCCAGATGTCACACCATCTATCCATTTTTTAAAATTCTTGCTGCATGGGGTTTACTGTTATTCCGAGATCTGTGTTCTTGCATTTATAGGTCACTTTTAAGTCATCTGCATATAGTATTGGATTACCAACACTAAAGCATTCACAGATACTGTTTATATATATTATGAATAGGAGTGGGCCTAATACACTTCCCTGGATTACACCACTACTTACTGGTTTAGGCCTTGAGATTATCGAGCGAACGTTCGTTATCTGACTTCGGCCACAGAGAAATGATTTTATCCAGCTCAGGAGAGGGTCACATATCCCTAGTGAGCATAACCTGCTGACTAGGAGATTATGGAGGACTCTATCGAAGGCTTTTATTATATTGAAATATAGCACAATTACTAGTTCTCTGTTGTCCCTGCTTCGTGTAACTTCATTGAAAAAGTCTATGTGATTGGTCGCACATGATCTCTTTTTGAGGAATCCGTGTTGTGATGGATTGATAAGTTCATGTTCTAGTGTTCATCTCCTCAGTCACCAGACTGCTCAAAGATGACAATGCACTTTTGCGCCTGACTCTTACACCCTCTTTTTCACCTTACATAGGTATTTTAAGTTGTTTAAACGTGTAGTTACAACAAACTACAATTATAAATTTTAATATTATTGGAACTAGATGATAAACATTTCTACACAGGACAGTAATATTAGTTTACACATAATATAAAAGTTAGCATAACGGGACTAGTTAGTTTGTGTACCAAAATAACCACAGTTACTAAACAGAATATATATGTATATATTTATTAATCACTCCTTAAGGACTCCCGTTGCTTTCTTTTGCGTTGCTGTTGTTTGTCTTCTTTTTTCTCTCACCATTTCAGCTTCTATTTGACTTTTTGAATGAGAATGAATAATGTGGATATTTGACCATTTACAATGACAAATGATCTGCAAACATTATTGGTCCAGTATCTTTCAGTTGCCTGGTTAATAACGAATTAACTTTCTCCACGACGCAACCTGGATTACATTTGTGGAATATACTCTTATACCAATGGAAAAGTATCAATTTGTAATACAACGTCACGATTGTAGCTTATAACATAACTGATCGTATCTGTAAAAATAGCTTCCTTATTACCCAATTTGGATATAAATCAAATCAAAAATGAGATTCGGATTTGTACACACCCAGGTTATATTGAGGAATTACTTCAAGCTTTATTTTTTCCCAAGTATTTTTAATCCATCCAAAACTTACTTGGGTTTTTTTGTTAATGCGAAGTTAATATTCCTATATTTCATGATGTGCTCCATTGAATGACTGGTTATCATATTGTTCCCACAGACCTAAAAAAATGGCATGCATTTTCATGTAAATTTATATGTTTATATGAGAATATACATTATTATAATTATTATTAAAACAAAAACGCCAGCAACCATGTAACTTAACCATAAACCGAATTTATGAAATTTAATTAATGCTTATCCATGCCTGTATATTTGGTGTGTCCTACACAAGTAAGAAAAAATGTGTACTTTATTAAAACATTATTATTAATTATGATTGCTAATCGTATATGTAATTTATCATATTGATGATGCCTGTAAACTGGCGTCTCTCATGTACAAAATGAGAATATACTATTATTATTATTATTATTATTATTAAGTTGTCCGACACTTGGTCTTTAACCACTTTCACCATTATTCGTGATATTACCGGTGTTATATTAATGGGTCTATAGTTGCATGCACTGGTTTAGGCCCCTGATTTGTGCTTAGGTAATATGTATGTGGTTTTCCACACTTCAGGATAAGTTCCAGTTTCCAGTGACAGAGTAAATATTCTAAGTAACAAGACTACCATTTCCGTGCTACCATTTTTGTATATGACAGATGATATGTCGTCTGTTCCAGTTCTACCATTTGACTTCAATGTTTTAATCACTGAGTCTATATTCTGTATATTAAAGTCTATTTCTCCTAGTTTGTGGTTACTTTTGCAGATCATTTGGAAATTTGGGATCGGGTGCACTCTGGTGTCATTGCAAAACTACTCACTGAGGAGTTTACTTATAACCTGGGGATCGTTGTATATTATACCCTTATGTTCCAAGATGCTTACATTATTGTCTTTACTGCTTTTTAGACGTTTCTGAAATATCCTACAAAGTTCCTGAGTTTTGGTGTTACCCATAAGCGCTTTATTTTCTTCATGTTGTGATTTCAATTTGTGTTTCTCTTCAAGCAGTTTAAGAGTTTCGTGTATTTGGTTTAACGCATTAAATTCCTTAAATACATGGTATTTCGTTTCCAATTTCTTTAGTTTTGGTCGCGTTTTGCGGTCAATAAATGGAGTTGGTGTCTATAGGGCAGATTTTAGGGGCGCGATTGTGTCTCTTTCTGAGCCAGCTGTTTTGTAGAAAATCTCAGGTGATACTTCTAAGTTATTGTTGATGAAGTATTCTTCCCAGTCAGAACTTCTCAACAGATCTGATAGAAATTCCCAACAAGCATTCTTGTAGTCCCTATATTGATAGCGCACCGGGAATTTTTAGGCGTGTATTTAGTTGTTAGTCGGAAGGGTAGAGTGCAGTACAATATGTTGTGATCACTTTTATCGAGTTTATTTCCCACCTCTATCGAGACGGGCTCTATGTTATGACAGAGGATTAAGTAAAGAGTATTTTGGTTCCTTGTTGGGAGGCGTACGCACTGCTTCCATCCTCCTATGTCTATAGCTTGTAGTAGCTCGTCATGGATTCTAGGTCCTGTACAGGTATCCCAGTTTACTCCATGTAAGTTGAAATCTCCAAATACTAATTTGTAGTAGAAGTTCAGCGTAGCTACATGTTCCAGTATTTCTCCAACAGTTATACCAGTCATTTCAGGGTTATTGGGGGTTCTGTATATACATCCCATGTC